GGAGACAAGAGCTTCCTTTATGTGAGTGTGTGTGCAGTGGATTGACAACTGGTGGTCAACTTATAACCCCCAGCTGAACTGAGGAAGTATGGTGCTGGGTGTGGGAGGCCCACTGGAGGATTACTGCCAGCAGCATAAGAGGTAGAACTGGAGGAGGAGAAAAAGGCTGTTGGGAGCCGAGAGAGGCTGTCGGGAGCTGGTAGAAGCTGTAAGGAGCTGTTGATTCTCTTGGAGGAGCTCGTCACGCTGGCTTTCCTGATGAACTTGGCTGTTTTCATCCTCCAAGGAGCTTGGGACCTAGTTGGCACTGAGAATGGCTTCGGTCCACTTTGGGGAGCTCCGATCCTCACGCTGAGCATCACTTCCTGGCTCCGCATGGGAAGATGGTACACTGCCGGTCTCCTGAGAAGCCTGCTGCATTGGCTTCCCTGATGGGAACCTGGCCATCTTGATCATCGGAGGAGCTTGGGACCTCACTGTTGCTGACGGTGGCTGTGGTACCTTTTGGGGGAGCTCTGGTTCTGAGCGTCGCTTTCTGGCTCCAGTGCAGATCCCTCAGCCTGCTAGCACAGATCCTTCATCCCACTGGCACAGACTTCCTAGATTCCACCACTGACTTTTGGGCCTCTGCAGTGCAGATCCATGAAACAGGCCTGCATGAGATACTGTTACGGGCTCTGGGCCTCCAGTTGGACTCGTGGGAGGCATTGTTATGAGCTCTAGGTCTTAAACTGGATTCATGCAGGACATTTTTGTGGGATCCAGGTCCTCAGCTGGATTCCTTGGTCTTAGTATGTGGACAGATTTCCTGAACTCTTTTGTATATCATTCTTTGGGAGACTATTATAAATAATCTTAAAAATAAGTGTCCTGTATTATATATTGTTCTCCCCTTGCAAAAATAACCCCCCAAACCAACAGAGTGTGAAATTACAGTAAGCCACCTGGAGAGACACAGTCACAGAGCTCTTTCACAGTACACTTTGTAACTGCTCTGTTCCATGATTACTGTCGTTGATCTCCCTGTGCCTAATTTACATCTTAAATGCCATCACATATATGTAGAAGGAAGAACTGATGGCATACATGGGGTGCAGTACTCTGCTGTTCCCAGCAGCCTGAAGGTCCCAGACTGTCCCTCATGGCAGGGGGAGGAGGTATCACTGTGTGTCAGTGGAAATAAAGCAAAATACAGAAATAAGTTGTGTGTTGCGGCTGATGTAGGAAACCCTCTGGGGAGCCCCTCTGTGTCCATCTTCTTGGCTGCATTCGGTCGCCAGGACAGCAGCAAGCAGCCGGAAACAGTGGGGGCTGGCCAGAGCAGGGGCCCAGCCAGAGTCCTACTGTCAGGAGGGACAGGCAACCTGAGGAGTACCGGCCCTCCCAGCGGGAAGCACCCCTCTCCAGCACCGCTGCTCCCTAATTTCTTTTCCTTCTTTGCATTTTCCTCAGTAATCAATTTCTCCAGTCATGTTCACTTTTACTTCCTGGTCTCACAGCATTTTCTCGGCAGGAGTTTAAGATAATCTGGCTCAGCACAGGGATCCCACATGAAGCTTTGGCACAGCAGTAACAAGAGCTGCAGGGATACACAGTAAAGGACTGTCGGTCCTTCTAGACAACACCCGCAGGAATATAGATTTTTGTGCTAAATGTTCCAGTGACACAAAGGAAGCAAAGTGTAACTACAAAATCCCCCAGCCAGAAGGAAGACCAGCAAAAATAAAGCTCTGGGGCTTCCCAGCAGGAAAAAGAACGACCCATGGCTGCTACATAATGGCTTCTGCAGCCAAGAGCCCGAACCCAAGGGCAGACGCAGGGAGGTCTTTACTCAGATGTGCAGACTCCTCCACAACGAGGAGCTCAAAAGTGACCGTTTTTCTTCTCTGCTCCTTGAGAGATGGCTGTAGTTCACCAACTGCATCCTTAAGGTGAATGCAGAGTGGCGCCGAATGCCAAGAAGATGAGAGAATACAGTAGCGTTACAGTGTGAGAGGGGTCTGATGCAGTCATGGTTTGTGTCTGGATGTCCCCCAAAGCCTCAGGCAGTGGGGGGCGGGGCTTTTCCGAGGCGGCTGGATCTGGAATTTGTGATTGATTCCAGGTCCAATGCTGAGATTACAGGTGTGAGTGCTACACCTGCCCTGGGGCAGGTGGCCTGCATACAATATAAGGGACAGGAAGAGGCATGTCCCTCTCTTCCTTGTTGCTTTTGGTATCTTCCACTGCCATGAACTGCTGCCCCCCTGCCCCCACCAACCCACCCTGCCTTGTAGCCAGCGACTATGGATGGAAACCTCCACAAACTGTGAGCTTAATAAACCCTTCCCCTTCCCCTTTTAACTTTGGGTACCAGGCATTTTGTCTTGGCAACAAGAAAAGTAACCAAGACAGACTCTTTAAGCTGGTTCTGCCTGAGCTGTATTCATCTATACCTGCATCTACACTGACACTACAAGCTGAGAGATTCCCTTACTATCTTCCAGGGAAACAATTAATCCAGAACCCAGGTTTAAGTCAGAGGAGCCAGGGTTGCCCATCGACCCTGCCTCTTTCTTCCCAGCTTCCTTAGGATGCAGATGGGGATCCAGACAGTCCTCTCCCGGGGTGCTGGAGAAGCTAACAGTCGCACAATTCCCAAAACAGCCAGTGCCAGCCCCTGCTGCCTTCTTCCTCTGTGAGTGAGCCCTTTTTGTGGAAGGCAGACCCAACACTACCGGTTACTTGGGGACAGAGTCAGCCAGTCTCTCCCTTCCAGTGCTTTGGTGGCCAGAGGGCTGCGTTTTGTGTGTGAAGCTGACCACCTAGATCTCCTGGTGACTCCAGAGCCGTGAGCCGGGGACAGGGTTGACACTTGCTAGCTGGGGTGCAGGGCAGGGCCATCCTCAGGACCTCCTTACGACATTTATTTTTGTCAGGTTTGAACAACATGTTTTCAAACAGCTTACCTGAGACTTGACTGATATACAACAAAGTCATATCTAATATGTAAGAGTTGCTATGCTTTGTTCCACTGCTGCAATAAAAATGTGATCAATCTACTTTTGCATTATTAACTATTAAGAGTCTATCTCTGATAATGAAATTATAGGGAAAAATAAACTTATTGTAATTTTGAAATCCTCTGCTCTCAAATTACTGGTTCCACATGGGGGTATTTTATAACACGGGCCACTCGAGCTGTTGTTATTGCATTAAGAAACACACTTCATAAAATCACATCTGGGTATGGTAGGTAATGACCCAAAAGAGACAATCTAGAGGATACAAACATTCCACTCTAAATTACCAGTGATCTTATCTATGGATACAACATAGTTAATGATTTACTTACTACCGTGTGCTACTTTTGGAACACATTTAGGTCGTCAGGAGAGTCCAGAAATTTAATTCTCTGGGCACAAACAGCACAGCATGAACTGCGGCGCTCAGGCACGCTTTGGCACGGAGCAGCCCAAAGTGCCGGCTGGTCACCTGGCTTCAGCTCTTCTTCTCAGTAAATGGCTACGACCAGACAGCACGCTCCGACTGGACCCGCAGCTCTTCTTTGTCCCCAGTACACAGAAAACATTTGTGCTGTGATTTAAGCCCCGCTGAGCAGGGCCACCACTGCACCGAGCTGTCACACCGCAGGTGCCCACAGGAAGGGGATGCACCTCCTACTTCCTGACACTCAGAAGCTTGGCAGCCACGTAAGAACGCCCCTTCACCCAAGGGTTACCCTGGCCACCCTGCTCCCGGTGGGTGCTGCACCCCATCTCTGCGGTTACCCCCCGCTTGCCCCCCCGCAGCTCCCTGTCCCCGCACGCCCCTGGGGAAGAGGAGGAGCGCTGCCTGCTCTTTTCCGAGCACAGCACTGAGCACAGGCCATGGGTGTGCTGGGCCAACTGCTCAGGGAGAGCCAGCCCTCTAGGGAGGTCCCCTTCCCTTCAGCAGGGCACTTAGCCCAATTATCGAAGGAAGCTTCTGGAAGCCAATTCAGTAAGCAACCTCATCGCAAAAACAAAAACAAAAACAAGCCACGAGCTTGGCGAGGCCCAGCAGGTCGCGTTCCAGTAGGTCGTGCTGTGGGTGACAAGCGTCCCACCCCAAGTGAGAGGAATTACACAACTCGAAACCGAAGCCGCTGTGGTGAGTGAGCTGCCTGCCTGTGTCTGTGACTGGGCTCCCTGTTGTCCCCACGTGGACGCTTTCCCGCAGTCCTCAGAGCACAGTCGTCACCAGATCCTGTCCCGCACACTGTGACACTGCCCCGCTCCGAGAAACCGTGTTTGTCTGGCACTGAGCAGAGAGCTTTCACTTCTGCCACTGCTTTTCCATGTCTTTTCCCATCTGCTCTTCTCCGCTAGGCCGGGAGCCATCTCAGGGAAGGGACAGGCTGTCTTCATCTCCCTTTGTGCCCCACAGACACTCAGAGCACGTCAGCTGAATGAATGAGCAAGCGAATGAGCAAACAACAGCAGACTAAGATCAGGGTGGCACTGACTGCGCCTAGGAAAATGAGGACGAGCTTTCAGATCACATGAACCCTCTGTCCCGGCTTCTTCATCTCCATCCTTCTCCTGATGGAAGAGCCCACCTTGACTCGGTATGACATGACGTGACGTGACGTGACGTGACGTGACGGGAAAGGCCTGGGCCGCGCCAGGTCCAAGTCCTTGGGTTTTGCTGGCTCTGCCGCCTTTTCACAAAACTGAAGCGCAGGCATGCTTGGGTCTCCCTCCTACCTGAAGAGAAGTCTGATGAACAGCCCCATGACAGACTCATATGCAGCCCTGCTCCTTTTGGAACGGATATTAAAAACAAGCGCCCTGCCCTCCCGTTTCCAGGAGTGTTCCCTTTTTCAGGCTCTTAAAATATTTTGTGAGAAATCTTTATGCAGGCAGCAAATACACCCCCACAGCCAACAATCTGCTTCAGTTCTCTCTATGAAAAATGCTCCGAAAAGGTGGAAGAAAACACGCCCCCTTCCCAAACACCGCCCCGGATGCTGCCCTCACCTCCAGGAGCTCGTCTCCCACACGCATCCTCCCGTCAGCAGCCGCAGGGCTCCCCGGGTGGATCCCCACCACAAAGATGCTCATGAGGGACCGGTCCTTGTTGCCTGCCAGGCTGAGGCCCAGCCCCTGCCTGTCCTTCTCCAGCTCAATGATGTGCAGCTCGCCGGGCAGGTCTGCATACCTCTGCCTGACTTTTTCTATAATAAAAAGAAAAAGAAGGAAGTTTAAGAAGTTAGAGAATATCTGACTCTATAGGAAGAGGTCAGGGCTTCCTGCACAGCTGTGCGCCCCAGACTGGGTGCCCTTGGGACGGACCCTTAGGGCCTGGGCGCCTGTGGTCTTGTGAGTAAGGTGCAGTTACAACCACTGCATCCCCCAGCCTGCGGGGGTCTGCTCAGCTCAACGCAGGGAGACCATGGCCTGCCCTTCCTCCCCCAACAGGCAATGAGAGCACACATGGAGCGACAGCACTGTACCACGCAGAGGGCCTGGCCTGGACACAGAGTGCTAAGTCAACAGCCACAGCCTCATGCGCATGGATTTATGGTTCCACAAGAAAGAAAATCAACACTTCAAATTGTAATTACGCTTACACAGGCACTTATTCTATACACACAAGTATGCACCTTTGCAGTGTGGGACTGAACTCCAGGACTTGTGCACGTTAGGAGAGCTCACTACCCGAGCCCCTGAAACACAGTCCTTAAAATACACAAACGGCACAAAGTAAGCGGCTCAGGGGAGCAGGAGCGCGGGGAGTTTCACAGCAGATGTCATGTGAGGTCTAACTCAGCCCACAGCCCTTTCACTCTCTCACAGCTGTGTCACTGTGTTTCCCTCAGGGCTCCAGTCACTCTAAATGGGTACTTTCACCCTCACTTCAAGGCCTTGGGAAGGTTAAGGGACCACGAGGGACCGCTCGTGGCTCAGCAGAGCTCTCTCTCTCTCCCCTGCTCTGACACTGGCGGCCCTAGTAGGGTGGGAAGCAATCGGCTCAGTGGCCAAATAATAACTAAGAAACAGATTCTGACCACTGTGGAACTCAGCCCCAGTCAGGCGCCTCCTCTGCCTTACACTGCAGGTCTCAGGGCTGCAACAAAGCTCAGCTCAGCTCAAGATGTCCTGTAGTGGACAACAGCCAGGCCACTGGCCACTGCGCCAGCCTGGGTGGCCAGGATGAGAAGTGAGCAGCAGGTTTTGACTGGTGAAAGCGAGCCCATGCACACACTGCTTATTTTAGAAAGAGAGTGAATCTGCTTTACGAAGATTTTGAAGAGAATCTTAAAGGACTTGCAAAAACTTGTTAGTAAAGAACACAGTTCGCAAAATACAGTAAGATGAAGGGTCTTGTAACAAAGCCGCAAATAAACTCAGGGTGGCTTCACTGGCCAGCTACTGGGAACAAGACACTAAAGGAATGGGCACCAGGAGGTGGGACCCCAGACGCCCACACAACACCCCTAACACAGAGGCTAAACAGTTAGCTGTTTAAATAAAAGCTCCAACACCCCTGATGGCTAGACACCAAGCAAAATGTTAGTTTATTAGTGAGTGAGTCCTCATCCATTGTGCTAGCTTTTGGAATTCAAGGAACTAACCTGGCTGGAAGAGATTTCCTGAGTGTAGTCCTGGCCACTGCCTGGGATCTCACGGGTGGAGAGGACGGGTGGGCAGAGCTGGTGGTAACCGCGCGGGGGGCAGGGTGTAGGGTGTAAGCTGGGAATTCCGTGGGTCAGGGGTCAGGATAAAGACTGAGGCTGACAGCAACATGTCTCCAGAAACAACACAGAGGCACCTGGGCCCCAGAAGGGCCCCAGAAGGGCCCCAGAGGAGGCTGGGTCTGAGCGTGCAGATCCCCCCACCCCACTCACCTGCTCCCGCTTCCTGGACTTGCACAAGGTCAGTAAAGGGAATGTTTCACTGCCAAAAAAATAACATGAAGCAAGAGCTCCGACACAGTCCCAGAGTACAGCGAGGTGCACCATCATTAAAAAGAAAGTAAGTGACGACTTTAAGAAGATGTAAGATCAAGGAGACAGATACACAAGAACCCTCCAACTCACAGAAAAGACACAGTTTTGAGCAATCGTACCCAGAACGCTTGGAGAAACTGACTGTGTTTTGGGCCACAAGAGGAACCTCAATAACAGAAAGAATCCAGATCATACAGGCTTGTGTTCTTGGACCACAGCTCAACAAAACCAAAACGCTGTAAGATAGTTTTTAAAATCCTCCGTGTTTACAAATAAGTACTAATAAAAAGCCTAAGATATAAAAATTACAATTCTAGGTTTCCAACTTGACAAAGCAGAACTTGGAAAGCTAATTCTAGTGTTGAATAATTCATGAGACAATAGGAAAAGCTAAAACAAGATGTTAGACATGATACTCAAAGAGTCAGAAAAGGAAGTATAAAGCAAATGCAAAGAACAAGAGAAAAGCAGCAAATGTAAAAGCACCTATTAATGAAATAGAACTACCAAAACCAAGCAAAATGAAATAATACAAAAATACCCATAAAGACCGATAAAACCAACAACTAGTTCTTTATTTTTTTTCTTCTTTTTCTTTCTTTCTCTGGTACCAGGAATCAAACTCACAACCTTGCGCTTGCCAGGCAGGCACTGTGCCACTGAACTAAATCCCCAGCCCCCAACAACTAGTTCTTTGAATATTACATAATGTATAAATGTACTGAAACGTCACATCACCCCCTTAGTATCGATAATTTTGTTTTTAGGTAGCAGTTAAAAAAGAAAAATTAGGGGCTGGGGATTTAGCTCAGCGGCAAAAGCGCCTGCCTGGCATGCGCAAGGTCGTGAGTTCAGTTCCCGGTACCAGAGAAAAACCAAAAAAAAGAAAAATTAGTTCTTAGAAAACAGTAAAACTTCAAAAACTGAAAAAGAAAAAAGAAATGATGCAAATAAATTACAGAACTAAAAAGGAAGTAACACCTGGCAGGTTTTTTTCAGACAAAATGATTACGGATAGCACTATCGATATGAACTATATAGTGGCAGAGTTAAAAATATGTACGGTACGCATATTTCTCAAAAAATGCAAAAGGCACATTTACTATAAGAATAAATGTAAATCTGCAATAGATTAGTAATTTTTAAAGAAACTGAAACATATAATATTCCCTTTCATAAAAATTCAGTGCTAGATAGTTTTATACTTCAATTCTGTAAGATTTCAAGTTAAAATTTTCCTCAGTTGTTCCAGAACATGCAAAGTAGTTTTTTTTTTTTATCAGGAATCAAACTCAGGACCTTGTACTTGCCAGGCAGGCACTTGTGCCGCTGAGCTATATCCCCAGCCCTAAAGTAGCCTTAAAAAATCTCATCTCACTTTTTGAGGCTGGTAAAATTATTATAATTCCCATAATAGATAAACACACAAAAAGAGATTTCCTGAGCGGGGTCCTGGACACTGCCTGGGATCCAACGAGTGGGAGGACGGGTGGGCAGAACTGGTGGAGACCTCCAGCAGGTGGGATGTGGGGTGTAAGCTGGAAATAAATATATACTTATATTTATGATCACTAATGTAAAAGTCTTTTTAAAAAGACTAATTTAATCCAATAGTATATAAAAATATTTAATTTGACCTCCATGTGACAAGTAATACTGACCATTTTTAGACCATGAAACTTCTTATGATTCAACCTAAGAAAATATGATATGGAAGGGTGTATCCCAGGAATGTGAAGACAGTTAAATATCAGCAAAGTTTTCAAGAAAAATCACATTACTAAGCTAAAGGAAGTTCAAAGATTATATTACAAGTGGATAACAGCATTTAATTATACTGCTTAAGATTAAAAATTGTTGTTGGAAAATCAAAATAGAAAGGTATGCTCTATATCTAAATTTACAGATAGAAAAATTATATAAAAAGCTATTTTCAGTATTTTAATCTCACAGAGAATTAATATCCAGGGAAACTCTACAAATAAAGCAGAAAATTATGGCACTCTTGATAGAAATCTGGCCAAGCACGTATGTTCAGGTGATACAGCATCACAAAGATACGTGACATACTCAAATTCATAGTAATTTTACAGTTGCAAATGCACGTGAGATGATGAGGCAGTCGGGGTGCTCACGCAGCCTTGTCTCTCGGTTTGTGTCCGGTCCCAGGCCCCTTACATTCCAGCACTGTTCCCCTTCTCTGCTTCAGACACCATGAACTAAGCAGCTCTGCTTGGCCACATCCTCTTCTGTGACTAGCTTGCCCTGGGGCCAGCGATCACGGACTGAATCCCCTTACAGTGTGAGCCAAATTACACCTTCTCTTTAAATTATGAGTTTCAGGTACTATGTCCGGTAACAGGAAGGGTGACTAAGATAGGAAACTGGTACCAAAAGCTGGGTCCTTGCTCTGACTGTACCTGACCATGTGGCCTACAAGCTCTTAGGGCTGGTTTGTGGGAAGCATTTGGAAAGGTTTGAAAATGTTGCTTAGAGAAGCAGAGGCTGATGGGTGATTCTGGTTGGACAGCAGAGACCAGATGCTGATAAGAACAGAAAATAAAGGCCAGGCTCAGGAATTTCAGTTGGGAATAAGGGGTCCACTGGCAGCTGGACTACAGGCCATGTGTGTTATGCTTTAGCAAAAATATTTGTGTACATTTTGCCCGTGTCCTGAGACTCTGCAGGAGATTGAGGTTAAGGGTGGTGAACTACTTGATCTGGTAAAGGAAATCAAAGGCATTCCAATGTTTGTACTGTGGCACACTTATTACTAAGTTCTTTTAGTCAGATTTATAGTGAGAATTAGGGGCAAAAAACAGGACAGAAAGATTTGAAAAACTTCCATTTTGACCCGGAAGGAACCATATATAATGGAATGCAAAAGCTGTGGGTCAGGAAGGCTTCCTTCCAGATTTCTTTATTTTGAGACAGAGTCTCACTATGTAGTTCAGGCTGGCCTTGAGCTCACTATATAGCCTAGGCCAGCCTTAAATTCATGGCAATCCTCTGGTCTCAGCCTCCCGAGTGCTGGAATTACAGGTATACACCACCATACCTTGCTCCTTCCAGATTTCAAAGGAAGGCCTGAGAGGCCAGGCACAGAGCTCCCCAGAGGGCGGCTCGTGAAGCTATGGGAATGAAGCAGAGGTGCAGTGCAGGCCCCAGGCAGTTGGAGATGCCACAAACAGGGAATGTGTGCCAAAGAAAACTGCAGCACAATG